CTTTTAATTTACACATAAAACATTTCTAACCCCCCAAAATTTTGAATGAAACTGAGTGGAAAACAATGTAACTGTTTGGTTTTGGAGGGGAGGAAGGAAAGCAGATTTTGAAATTTTGGAGTTTCTTTATTTGGCAGAACTGTTTTAACACATTTTCATAAAGTAGGTATTAACAGAGGAGCACATCTAGGATATTAATATTGTTCAGCTCTGCTAGGATGTGGCTTTAATAAAAAGCATAAGGTACAGTATTTTTTTTTTAAAGTATGGAACAACATGGATTATTTTATGATATATAAGGCACTTTTTAAAAAAAAAATGTTTATATAGCTGTTCATTCTTGGTAGAATGGACAAGTCCAGAAAAAAAGGGTAGTAAATGTTCAAACTGTATTTTGAGTACTGCACGTGTTTCTGTATAGGAATTTTTACTTCATCTTACTAAATATTCTTAATAAATCTTATATTCAGTAATGAACATGGTTTATGCTAAGCTTAAGCTTTGACTCAGACCAACAAATACAAGGAAATTTGATCTAGCCACAGCACTTCTGAAGTCCCATTAGAGAAGCTGAGGCAGCGTAGCTTCCACCAGTGTAGAAGTGGCACATGCATATCTTCTTGTTGCCATTCTCAGCTGTGTACAGCTGCTGTTTCCCCTGCATCAGCTCTAGTGTTCACCTCACCCCTATTCAGTTTGAAAAATCAGTGGAAAGCCAACCTAGAATCCTCTTCATTTGCTAAATGAGCTCTCTGAAGAGTGAGACTGATCAGAAGGAGGGAAGGTCAAGCTGTCTCTGAGCTGCTCCTTCAGGTCTTGATCATAAAAGCACATTTATGTAGGCTCTGTTTAAGTTGATTAGACTTATTCATAGATTTGATTAATCTGATTCAGAACTTTGTGAAGGCAGGATCTTTTTCTCAACTTGTCTTTTCAATTTCAACAGCTTTTTATGATCTCGTAGGAGTACAAAGCAAAGCATATGTTTGTGGAAAGATGAGTTCTAGATTTCTAGGTTTCCTTTTTACTTGGTATCACAAATTAGACTAGTTTTGTGAAATCATCTTTTCAACACTGGTCACCTCAATTACAATACAAACTCATTTATTCAAACCGTGATGACAGACTGAGTGATTTACTGAACTCTTTGAAAGACAGTGAACAAATGCTGGTGGCAGAAGGAAGTCTATAGACTTTTGCAGTTAGCAGCATTTAACTGAAAGTATTTTAATTGTTCCCATGGTTCCATTTGGACCAGGGTAAATTAGAAATACTAATAGAATCATAGAATACCAGGTTGGAAGGGACCTCAAGGATCTTCTGGTCCAGCCTTTCTTGGCAAAAGCACAGCCTAGACAAGACAGCCCAGCACCCTGCCCAGCTGAACCTTTGAAGTGTCCAGTGTTGGGGAATCCACCACTTTCTGGGGAGATTATTCCAGAGGCTGATTGTTCCCATTGTGAAAAACTTTTGTCTTGTGTTCAATCAGAACGTCCCCAGGAGTAACTTGTACCCATTACGCCTCATCTTTTCCATGTGACTCCTTGTAAAAAGGAAGTCTCCATCTTCTTTGTAGTCACCCTCCAAGTACTAGAACATGGTAACGAGGTCTCCTTTAAGCCTTCTCTTCTCCAGGCTGAACAAACCCAATTCTCTTAGCCTTTCCTCATATATGACAGGCTTCTTAATCCTTTGATCATTGATATGGCCCTTTTCTGGACCCTCTCTAGCCTGAACTCATCATTTTTGCATAGCAAGGACCAAAACTGAACACAGTGTTCCAGGTGTGGCCTGACAAGCACTGGGTGGGATCATGACTTCTTTGTCTCTGCTGGTGGTACCCTTGTTGATGCAATTCAGCATCCTGTTTGGCTTTTTTTGCTGCTGCAGCACACTCTTTACTCATATTGAGCTGCTTGTCCACCAAGACCCCCAGGTCCCCTTCCACAGAGCTGCTCCCCAGCCGGGTAGATCCCAGCCTGTGCTGCACTCCTGGATTATGTTTTCCCAGGTGCAAGACCTTAACACTTGTCCTTATTGAACTTCATAAGATTCTTGTTAGCCCACTCTTCCAGCCTATCCAGGTCTTGCTGCAGGGTGGCTCTCCCTTCCAAAGTGTCCACTTCCCCACTCAGTTTGGTATCGTTGGCAAACTTCATCAGGTACACCAGCGTGGTCCTATGTACTATTAGACTTGCACATAGTTCAAGATCCTACATAACTGTGTCCTTTCTCAGGATTTTAGAAACCACTGTTAAGTTTGTCTTAAAATACCAGTCACTGGGTGTGAATTTAGCCTGTCAGAGTACATAAACCACCGGTTATTGTGTCAGTTCCTCAGCAGTACAGTATTTTTGGGGTTTAGAAAAGGGAAGAGATGCTGGTCAGTATGTAGGTGTACACAGTTTAAAACAATGAGCCTTAAATAAATGCTTCTGTCACTGGAAGAATAAAACACTTTCTAGATGATTTAAAATAATGGATGTCTCGCTTTCACAATCGGTGATAGGTGCTTTTATTCCAGTAAACCTTGTTTTTGTAGCTGTGTTAGGGTGTCTGCATGGTTATTTTGAGAAACCAGTAGAGATATGCATGGAGTTGAGACACATAAGATTGCATGGTGCATTGTTCGCCAGGCATTCGGATTTTGACTGTGCACTCAAAATGTTTAGCTATGCTACTATAGCTTCATGCCTTTAAAAATATTTGTATCAGTTATATTCCTGTATTTCTCTGTTAACTCCTTTTACATGGCTTAACCTCATGCTATATTTAATATCAATCTCCCATGCAAAGCCTGTGCATGGCTCTGACTTGAGCTTTACTGTGCTGTCCAGTGTGTCTGTGTGTTTATACACACACGTTATATATATATAAAAACACTTGTGTCAGTTGTTGGGCTTTTTTTTTTTTTTTTTTAAGTTATCTGAAAATGTTTAAGACATTATCAGTAAATGATTCTATGGAAAATGGAAGTTGTCACTTCTAATCTTTTTCTGTATGTGTCATTGCCAGATTCAGTGTTCAGTGTTGTAATGTTCATTTGTAGGGTGCTTAACAATTCATTAGTAGTGGAAGGATTTTTTATTTTGAAATAAAAGTTTAGTTGTAGCAGATAATAAAGCAGAATAAAGCTATGGTTCTACCTCTTTGATAAGATGCAACAAGGAAATAAAATAAGAAAACAATTATGTAATTACTTAGGTCAGGCTATCTAAATGATCATTTTAATGCAACAAAATATCAGTTCTTTAGAAGGCAGCTGCACTTTTTTTTTTTCTCTTGGAGTAGTGTCTTTGATACTCATGCTGAGAATCACCTTTTGCCACACAGAAGCTATAGACTGTATTTGGTTTTAATCTTTGGATATAAAATGTAAGGGAAAGAAAAGAAGTGGGGTAAAAGGAAAATGTAGTGAAAAAGAAGAATCAGGATTTAGATTAAAAAAACTGGTGGGCGGGAGGGTGTTGAGTTACGAGTTTTAAAAAGTTGTTTATAACTTAATTTTATAGGATTTTACTTTTTTGCAGATTTTAAATTGAAATGTAATTAGCATAAATGAGGAATTTTAGTTTAAAGATTAAAAAACCAACCATATTTAAATGCAATTTTTAGTCCCTACAAGCAAATGATAGTGCAGGGAAGATTTTTGCTGACTCCTTAACTTACTCAAGAGTCTATGTAATAAAGATGGCACTATAGCAGTGGTTCAGATAACGAGAACATACGTAGTACTTTGGATATCCTGATCATTGGTCAGAGACAAATCATAGTTGTATGTGATACAGTGCACCATGATATGCCTTAGTAACTCTGAATTTTCTTCCTTCCTTCTGGAATGTACCGATTTCTTAAAAATATATATATTTGCTAATATTTTGAAGTTATGGTTCTGTCACTGATACCTCACTTTATTAAATAATTACTAATTCAATGCATCTGAAACATTCCTCAGATGTGAATGGGTATGCAGTTTTCTTCAAATCTTTCTGATTCACCATGAGTTATTGACTTCAGTATCTACTGACAAAAATGATACCAAAAACTTGGGGTTTTTTTCTGAATATATGAAATATTTTTGGCATATACAAAGAGGAAGATAGTGGTTTACATTATTTCCTGATTATATAATATTTTTATTATGATTCAATTGACTTGATATTGTCAGTTTTCAGCACAATTGAAGTTTGTAAATTTAGGCAACTTTCTGATTTTGGAATAATTTCATGAAGGATTTTGCAGCTATATGTCCGTTTGAAGTTAAAGCTACAGTGGACTTTTAAAGTTGACTTTATATAATGGAGTGTAAAAAGTTCTGAAAGTTACAGATTTAATGCTAAATTAACTGTTAATTGAGATAATTAATTTACCAAGCTGATTGCCTGTTTTGTTATATATAAATTCTGTGCTTGTAGTCCATTCTGTGTACAATATAGCAGCATTTTTTTCTTAAGGGGTTTGAAGGGATTTCCAGTAGTCATTAGTTGCAGCTGTGGCTCAGAACTTCTGATCCTGAATTGTTGCCCTCAATATCCCTGTATTCTCTTACTCTTCTGTAATTGCTAGGACTTGGTATGTTTTTTCTGTTTAAGTCAGATGAAAAGAAGTAAGTGTTTTCCTGGACTTGACCTCCGTATACGTATTGCACAGAGTAGTTTTCATGATGCTTCCACCTGCAGAGCCATCTTGGGTGGCAAAAGCAAATGATGATTTGGGAAATAGTCACAAGAGGGCTCAATGGGTTGCAATTTAGCTAGGGATTGTTGTTGAGAAATGTGAAGAAATTTAATATTTAAATCCATAATTCCACATACCTGCATTTTCTCTATCACCTATTGTCAGTTTGACTCGCATTTTATGTTTTATACCACTTCGACTGTTGTTTCCAGTAAATTCTCATGTTTGTACAGTTTGTTTCCTTTGTCAGTTCAGCTCTTGGGGGAGGAAGGATTTAGGTGTAGTATATATGTTCAAAATATTTTTTTTTTTTTTAATTCCAGTTATCTAGAAAAGTATGAAAAAGTTCATCATTTTGGGGAGGAGGATGATGAGGTACAACCAGGCAATCCAAAGCCACAACTTCCTATTGGTGCAATTCCAACATCCTATAACTACCAGCAACACAGTGTGTCAGGTACATTTTTGAGGAAAAGTGCTATTTTTTTCCATATATATATCTGTGTGTGTGTGTGTGTATATATAAATATATATTTATATGGACAGGCTACAGAAATAGTGTGTAGCTAAATTTACAATATTATTAAAACTACCTAATCTGTGGGTCACTCAAGTTATTAATTTAATACACTCAAAAACCTTTCCACTATGAACCAAAACAAAACAAATATGAAAATCCATAAACTATTTCTCTTCTTTACAAATATTTCTCTTTCTAATTAGCAGGGCTAAATAGTTACTTGTCTTGAAACAACATACTGTGAAAATCAATAGGTTGTGTTTCTGTTACATCAGTAATTTCTCTACAGAGCCAAATACCTGAACTGAGCATATGATTGATTAATATTTAAAAGCCAAGAAATAAAGCGCATGAGTAAAGAGCCAGATTGACCACCATTGCAATTTAGAGACCAAAGTACAAATCTTGAACCAATAAACAAATTAGAAGCTGGTGGACTCTTGTGGAATGGATGTGTAATTTGTTGTGTAGAAAGTGACTCCAAATTGACAATTCTATTCTGCTTCAATTAATGTTTGCGTTTTCAAAGAACATACTGCAGTATTGCGTTCTGGAGATGATGAAGGATCTAATATTGATTGGAAAGGTACACAGCTAAGTAGAATGTGTTCAGCATTTTGACCAAAGACAAATGGAAAACATAAATTTAACACTGTAAAAGCTTGTTACAACCCACAATACCTTCTTAATAAACTTTTATAAAGTACATATCATTCATAATAATATTGCTTAATGTATCATCTGAATATTGATTAGTTTAGCTGTATGAAAATGTGTTTTTTTTTTCTTATTTAGATTACCTTCGTCAAAGCTATGGGCTGTCTATGGACTTTAACTCACCAAATGACTATAATAAATTGGTGCTTTCACTGTTATCTGGACTCCCAAATGAAGTGGACTTTGCAATTAATGTATGTACTCTTCTTTCAAATGAAAGCAAGCATGTTATGCAGCTTGAAAAGGACCCTAAAATCATCACTTTACTGCTTGCAAATGCTGGGGTGTTTGATGACAGTAAGTATGTAACATTTTTGCAATTAAAAAAGTCAATACCTGTTGTAGCATCTTTAACAATACTTGATAATCAAAAAGTGTATCATTTATTGCACCATAATATACTTATCTCTAGTTTTTGTTTTTACCTTGTCCACAGTTACGGTTTGTATCAGACACTACAAATACCTTTTAAGTTAGTTAATTTAAAACTGTTTTAACAGTTTAGTGAAATGTGAAAGGATTAGTTTATCAGTGATAGTGTTTAATTGTTCAAGATGCTCAAATTTGAAACATCAGATTTCCCTCTGATTGTAGTAATTTCTGCTTTCTTCTGAATTTGTAGGATCATGCTGACTTTTCATAATTCTTTTCTAGTAGTAGTCACAAATTTTAAACTTAAAAAGGGCAATCTGAAAACAATGACCCACTAAGGTTTTTATCCTGATAATTCACTACGTGTTCAACTGTAGTGAAATTCAGAATAGAAAACTCAAGGGATAAAAATCTCAGTCTGAGGCTGAGTTACTTAATGTGTTAGCACATAAATTTTTAAAGAGAGTCTATTCCATCAAAATACTTCAGTATGTGAAATAAATTCTTTTGTTTGACTTGTTCAGTGTGACCTCCATGACAAGTTTTTCTTTGTTAATTGCTTGTTTGTCTTGTCTGCCAAGTAAAGGTGAAAAAATATAAATTAACCCAAACAATCCTAAAATCATAACAGCTTAGCTTCTGTTGTGTGGTGGCGAGCAGGAAGTATGTACTGGTTTTATGTACAGATTTTTTTTTTTTGGCTGTATTTCAGAAATTACTACCATAAGAAATTGCTCAAATGAGCTTTTTTGGTTAAGTAAATTTCAGTCTGCTAGTACAGGTAATCGTATTTATTTGAATATAACTCTGCTTTGCATGTGTAAGCATAAACATAGTGTGGTATGTCAGAGATTCTGTTTTAAAATTCTGGGGAAGAATCAGTGTTAGACATTGTATACTTTATTAAAAAAAATCATTACCATTTTTACATAATGAATTGTAGCTTCCCCTCCTCCCCCCAATATTGCATTAGCACTTTCCAGCTTCTCTCTTACATGTTTGATTTGTACCCATGCCCTTCAGACATGGTTAGATCTCTGACATTTAATGTCTGCATCTAGCCCAGTCACAAGAACTTTCAAAGAAATGTATTTGAAAGGAAGCTAAAGTGAAACTTAGTCCTGCATTTTAGTGAATCCAGGATGCTTGCTGTCTAGATTTGAGTTTGCCATCACTCCCCTGTTCTTTTGATGGAACTTCCATGGACTTAAGAATTTAATCAAGTTTTGTATTGCTGTTTCGTTATTTTCTTGGATATTGCAGCAGTAGTGTTTTCTTACATTCTTAACTTGAGACTTGGAGCACAGGCTCGTTCCAGAGCTGGCCTGTATTAGTATTTCTTATATTGAAAAATATTTGAGGTAAAGCCAAGAGGAATGACGAGCTTGTAATGGGCTTGCTCTTTCATTCCATGGGAAAAACTTCATTTTTATCTTGCCTGATTACATCTTCTGGATAAATACAGGGAGTGTCCAAGCAGCACAAGAGGACTAATTGGGACAAACTGAGGAAAGAAAGAGGGAGTGTGTTTACTTATTTCTGAAGCATGATGCTTTGATTTGAAATTCTTACGTGCTTTTGTATTATAAATAATGAAGGTAAATCTGTCAAGTTTGATGATTAAATGAAATCTGTAATTAGCAAATTCAGGTAGTATGAAAATACTGTCACGATAATTTCAAGTGTAAATAAATAATAGCTGATTAACATTATTTAATGTGAGTTTTAGATTGGGCTTGTCTATATTTAAGGTTTTATCATTGTTAGTACTTATAATTCACAGCTTCTAGGTAACAAGAAAAATATCTCTTCAGGTTTTTTTTTCCCCATAAAGTTTGAGATGCTGATTATATTGCATGTGATAGGGCAGCCCTAGGGGTTTGGGGGTATATAGTATCTTCAGTTTGGAGTGCTGGCTGCATAAGCCTTGGTTTGGATTCTCTGAATTGAAAGTCGATTAAGCTTAATTAATGCTTAATTAAGATTTGTAGCATTTTGTTCAAAACAGTGTAGCATTATGAACCAAAATGTTTAAGTATAACTTAAATGTGTCATTAGTTCATTACAGAACTATTGCAAGATGGAGCTTATTTTTGGATTGACTGAGTCAATCAGAGAGTGATGATTAAAAATTGTTGTAGTGGCTCCACCAAACACCCAAGAACATCCATTATGCTTCCTGGCTCAATATTGACTTTCAACTGAGTGCTGTCAAAATCTCACTGCTACTACTATGATTTTTAGAAAACATTAGTTGGAATTTGTTTAATTACTGAAATAGTGTTTACAGCTAATACTGCTCACATGGAAAACGGTTGTTGATGTGAGGTTGAAAAATGAGCAGTCATCTTGACTCCTGGAAAAGAGCTATGGAAGTTTCCTATGTATTTTTTAAAGGGTTCACAAACTAGTCCATTCTTTATGGACTATTTATTCTCAGTTTAAACTGTAGTAGCAGTTAATTAAAGCGCTATAGAAATTTCAATTGGTTTATGCAATTTAATACAGGACTTCTTTTAAAATGAAAAGGAAACACTGGAAGAGTCTGTAGTGTTGTTGAATATTTAGTTTATGGTTTAGTAAAAAGTTAAACAAAAATGTTCATTTTTTATTTTACTAAATTCTGCTTTTTGTGTTTAAAGCTTTAGGATCATTTTCGGCTGTATTTGGAGAAGAATGGAAGGAGAAAACTGACAGAGATTTTGTTAAGGTAATTTAAAAACTATTAAAATAATTTTTAACTGCATATGGTGGGTATCTCAAATTGTTTAAAAAAGAGAAAATTATAAGATATACTAGCATATGTCTTTTGAATTGCTCCCAACTTTATTCCTTTGATTTAAATCTAATAGGACACTAAATCACAGTTGTCATAAAATGTTTGGCTAAGCAGGAAGAAATGTATTAAGAAAAAATAAGTGCAGGCAAATGAATAAAGAGATTCTGCGTTTGTTTTTGTAAGAAAGCTAATATGTGGGTGAAAAAGGAAAACTAGCCAACCTATTTAGCATGAGAAAACAATAATACTTTTTTTAAAACTGCTGTGATCAGTAAAGAAACATTCTTGATTATGAAAAATAAGTCCATCACATAAGAAGCACAGGACAAATTTAAGTAAGTTAGCAATGTTGCATGCTTGTTTCAGTTGAACTATTTTTGCACAAGGCTTTTTTCTCTTTCCACTAGAGGGCATGATCTACTGCACAAATAATGAAATGAGGTAAAAATATAACTAAAGTTTATTTGTATAAAGCTTCCTCTTTATTCTAGATGAGCATTGTGAGGTCAGTGAGAGCATGAAATATATTATACCTGAAAGAGGTTTGACATTTCATCATAATCTGCTATGATATAAAATTTCCTTAAATTGAATTTCAGGTGATTTAGGTAGCTAAAATAGAAGAAAGCTAGATTAAAATGTATTTTGGTAACTTATGCTTTTTATTAAGTAAAAATGTGAAGAGGTAAGCGGCTGAATTCCTTATGAACTCATAGGCAGGTTTCTGCTCAATTTCTTAATAGTCTCATGTACTGAAATGTCTTAACCAGTATTAATAGAGAAATAATTGTTAGAAGCTTTTTCCATTTGTCTTTTGTTTTGTTTTTATGTTACTCAATTTTGGTTCAAGTTGGACCATAGTAGTGTTAGTTAAACAAGAAGTATTGCTGAAACATCAGTGAATAGATTCCCTAAATAAAATTTCCCAGGTAAAGTTAAGAAAAATAAAAGGTAAGCTGTTATAATTAGTATATGAACTTGAAAATGTGGTTCAGATGTGCTGAAGGTAAATGTGAAAAATAATGCTTCATAGTATTTTTTTCCATTGAAAAATATGTCCAGAAGGTACTATAGGTTGTGTTTTGGATTGTTGTGGGTTCTTTTAAAAGTACTTAGCGCTTCTGTGTTGACTTCACCCTAAACTGTCACACACTGCTGCTGACCTAGAGCAGCAACAAGCGCCATGTCTAGTTCTGTAAACATTTAAAATTACACAGAATTCTAATTTATTATATGTTCATTAATTATATAAACTTAAGTAATTGTGATAGATAAGGACAGATGGTTCTGATAAATGTTTTTAACCAAGTGTTAAGTAAAGCCACTGTAACTGCAATAAGGTTTACTAATAAGAAGCTTGGATGCTCTCCAAGATCTATTTTTGAACATTACAACATGTATAGTACCACTCTGTAGTGAAATACTGCTGAAAGCTTGTCAGAAGCTAACACCAGATATAAAAATATCTCTAATGCCAAGAATCCAGATTTTTCGGAACATCTTACTTCAAGCATGAGTTTGACCCTGCTACTGGAAGTAATTTATTTTGTATTGCAGCTGTGGCTGTGTCAAAACAGAAGTTGAGGGAAGCATTATGGGAGCTTCATGACATAGGAGAGAGACATTTGGTTGACAGAGTAAAATTTGCTTTTACAGCTTTAAGGTCAATAGAATGGCTATTGGATATGTGTCCCTCCTTTCACTGTTCACATTATATTTTTAAAAATTAATTTGTTTGCTTTTTAATTTATTTTGCTGCCAGTTGTTTGTGTCTTGATTTTGTAAGGTTATTGTTCCAGTTTGTTTCTCTGCTATAATGGCAGCAAATTAGAAATTTGTGTAAAGATGAAAATGGAAGAGAGTTTTTAAGTGGGAGAGGAAAAATGCAGGATGGTGAATTAAAGTATAGTGATGACATGAGTACACGAATGGTGGAGTTTCGTAGAAAGTAGTTTGGGGGAAGCAATTTCTTAAGCATGTGAATTCTAAAGTAATAGGAATTGAACTGATAGAAATATTGTTGAGTTTGTAAACATTACCCTCAGACTGTAGTGGATTTTTCATATGTTGGGAGTTCTGGGGTTTGGAGGGGAGGGGGAGTGGAGGTGACAGAGAAATATTAGAAGTCTCAAAGCTGTTCTGAAAATGATTCTCAGTGTTAAATTCAGGATTCATAGAGAATTCATAAACTTGGATTCTTGGCAATTAAATGTCAGTTTAAGTGTTGGTATGTTAGTTTTATATTAAAAAAAACAACAAACTCCTAGTCTTTGTTAGCAAAAAATAGCTTTTGAAATGCAGTGAAACAAATATAAATGATCTATGAGAAATGCTCAGGATCTTTGACATTTCATCTATATAGCTACTCTTACTAACTTTTTCCAAGCTACTCCTCCTGCTTATTGAAATATATGAATATAAATTTGGAATTTTTGATTTTATAGAGGCATTTAGTTACTGTATTTCAATGTCTGTATATAGACATTGGGGTAATTTTAGAATTACACATTTATACAAAAATATTTTGTGGAAGTTTTAAATGTTTGCTTAAAATAAGCTTGATTTAATTTTTAGTCTCTTAATCATAGTAGTATTTTAAAATTATTTTTCAATAAAGAAAACTAACCATTGTTTTTCTTCACTATTTTTTTCCTCTTAACTCTGGTGTATCTTGGCATATTAGGAGTGGTACAGCATCACTATTATTATTTTTCCCACTCTTAAATATCTATGCAATAAGTGTTGGTAGTTTGGTGTTCAGTGAGCTCTTGAGTTCTATATTAATTTATCATAAAAAATTTGTCAATTGTTTCAGCACCAATACTTTGATTTTTATGTTCTGCTGTTCCCTGATTTTGACTTAAAGTCATTCTACTTTACGTATGCAGTATCGTGATTTTTTTCAGAACGGACTACTAGTTTGGTAAAGTCATATTCATGAGCAAAGGAGCTTGCCTGTTTAGTTGTGTCCTCCAACATCACTGCGGTTGCAGTTGAATGGGAAGATGGAAAACAATGTTCCTTTACACTGGGGGAATCAATTACCTTTACTTTCCCTCCCCCCAATCCTTACTGCACTATAAAAAACTGTTTGGAAAATTTGTAATTTCCATTATCTTATCTGCAGCAGTACATATTTTCTCACTTTCTACAGTGCTTCCCTCTGAACTGAATCAAATATCTTTACTAGTCAGTGAATCTGTTCCATTAACTGTCAGAATTTGAATATCATTTCAGCTGAACCTGCTGTTACCCTTTATAGTATGTTAATTTGTTGTTTCCTCCCCTCTTGATTTTTTCCTGGTGCTCTCAATAAGCTTAAATTTCTAGTTAGTTGGAATGACTTCATGTCTTACTTAAGGATTGAAGTAACTGGCCTTTAGCCAGTCATCTTGTATCTCTTGTGTTGTTTTGTCATCCTCATCCCCAGGCTCTGATGACATCCTGCTCAGATATTTTCTCATCTACTCTGGAAGCTTTCCCATTTTTAACGGTTTCATTTCTCTTTTGAATTTCCTCATGTTAGCAAGGTTCACTTCTGAGGGTAGTTTGTCTCTTAAGAGCGACTTGTTCGTGTAGCACGCTTATAATCAGATAGATCTAGCTTCTTTTTCAGGTATTTCTTTCATGTTTCCTGCAGCTGCCCACTATCTGATGTAGTAGTATATGAATAATTGCATTAAATTTCTTCATAGAAACATAGAATTGTGCACCATTGATTTCTGTTTACTTCAGTTTAAGCATTTGGATTTCATGTTCTTGGACTTCTTGAGGCCACTTCTACCTGTAGAGTTCCAAAATCCATGCTTAAGCAGTTTTTTTGCTTTCTTTATTGATTTACGTAATACTTTACTTTTTTTTTTTTAATGAAGTTCTTATTTTCTTGTCTAACTCTTTCTGCTTTGTGTAAGTTTAATAATAATTTTCATTACTGTGCATTTATTCTTTGACTCTCTCTCAGATAGTACGTAGGAGACATCCTTATACATTTAAATGCCTGAAATACTTTTCAAATATAACCTTTCTTGTTTCTCACAGGGATCTGTAAAGTTCAGTTGACTCTAGTTGCTGCCATGTTTTTCTTGGACAATAAGTAGTCATGTTCATTGCTACATTATATGATTTGTGGACTCAAATGTCAATTGTTTTTATGGACAGTAATTTGGTTAATCTAATTTCCAGTTAATTCTGTATAATCATGTACCATGTTTTTCCAAAGGAACTTTTCTACTGAAAGTAAACGGATTGTGCATGTGAATCAAGTTCTTTACTTTTGTCCATTATCTCTTAGCATCTGGATGTCACTGTCAGGCATTGTTTGTTTGCTTCCAAGTTTTAGCTTTAAATTTCTATTACCAGTGTGTTACCATGATCTAAAATGTGTATATATGTGTGTGTATATATCTATATATATAGATATTGATGAAGAGGTTTACTTTTTCATCCTTTCTTGTTCATTTCTGTTGCTATGAAATATCAGATTGCAGCTGTCCATAGCTTATAGTAGGGAATAAATAATTGCATGTGATGCTAAATTGTTTTTTTTCTTGCCTTTGTGATACAAGTACGTTTTTCAAAGGAATGCCCAGAAAGCTTGACTTAACTCATCTTTTTCCACTTTTGCCTTTCTTTGGGGGTTTGTAATGTTTCTCCTTGTTCTCTTCTAATATCAGTTACCAACATTGTATGTAGGTTATTTAATTCTGTTTTCCACCTCATTATTCTCTGTGCACCTCCATCCTTTTTGTGAATCTTTCCTGCTTAGGCAGGATACAACTTTTTGGAGTTGTATTATCAGCGTATGCATGTCTTACTGTCCACATTCTCTTCCTTAGAGCTTTAAGAGCCTTTCCAGATCTCTAGGACTCAGAGGAACTGGGGCTGTGGGGGACACATGTTATTCTGATGTGCTTCACGTAGGTAACAGGGCTTCTGCATATGCTCTAGGTAGTCCTGAGGCAAAAATTCTCTAGTTTGAGTGGTTAGCATCTTATGCTCACAGTATGACTGTATAATGAAATAATTTGAAGAGTAACTGTTATGTGTAAGTAAACTTTATTTGGTGCCTTGGTGTATCTCATTTTAACTCACAGAGAGGAGGTATGTTCTTTTCTGAAAAAGATAATCTCATCTGAGCTGACAGCTACTGTTGTTTGATAGACTGCTTCTTTAGGAAGGGGTTCGGGCAACTAGAATGGATCTGTTTATTCTGCAAGTTTTAGGTGAGATGTACGGTTTTCAAACAATGTATTCCTGTCCTCACCTTTAGACATAGGACTTTGAGGTTTTTGTCTTTATCAGTGTCTGTAGTGTCTTCATATCCAAAAATCTTAAATCCTCATTTTCCATCCCTTTGAAAATGTGTCCAGGGTGATCTGCCTGCCAGACAAAAATATTAGCTCTTTTATGACTTTATGTTGCCAGAGGTTTTTAAAGGTTTCACTTTGTGCTATACGCTTAAGTATTAAAAGATGAAAAGTGGATTATTAGGATGATTCAGCTAGCAAAATATGATGATGCTGTTTTAACATTTAATGTGTGACAGCAGTTTTAACATCATATTGTGATTGACTTTGGCCTCTTCCAAAGAGATGCACATTGAAGTTGAAGGCTTTAAGTATCTCTGTTAAATATTTGTTTAAAAAAAAAATCCTTAACTGATTAAACAATTATTCTTTAAAAGCTTCAGAGGTTTTTCTTTTATGTAGCAGTGAAATGTGAAGGCTTATTGTCTTCATTGCTTTTCCAAAAGGAAACATCCTAAAGGAAAGTGTGTACTGACTAGTAAATTTCCAGACAATATACTTCTGTGTGCTTTTTAAAATAATGACTGAAGCCTGTTCCTTAAATAGTCTCCTTCTCTAAAAGCAAAGGCAGCTCAAAATGAAGTAAATTCTACAGATTTTACCTGCATACCTTGGTATTCTGTAATTCTTGTTGATAGCCTCAGTATTAATTAGAAAAATCAGTCAGAAGAAGTAGTTACATTTTTATCTGGCTGGTCTTGTCTTTGCTAAAATGAGGAAATAATCCTTTCTGTGCAAGTAATCCTCTTTACTAAACAGCACTTGGATGTCACTTAGCAGCATTGCAGTGGAAAATAAAATTATTTTCCTTCCAATTTAGAAAATCTGTAGTATTCTTTTTTTCAAGAAAATAATAGTGTCAAGCTTGGTATGAATCCTGTAATTTAGTAATTACATTTGCATAGCAAAATTTCTCCTGCTGTTCAGCTGGTTGTGCTTTCCATCCTTCCCTTTTTACCCAGATTTATTTGTGGTTTTATTCTGTGATCGTAGCCAAAAGAGGAGCTGTATTTCATTAGTGAGTCAAATGAATGTATAAATTTTTATTAGTCAAAGGAATGTTTATATTTTCATTATAATATACACATTATATATTTTTATATTAATATACATCACAATATGTATTTTTATTAGCTTGCAAAACTTAATCCCATGATTGTTCCTGAATTTTAACAGGACTAGCGATGTAACAACCATTTACACAGATTAGACCATATATTTATAAAGTAATTGGAATTCCAGTCTGCTGAAGCATTACATTTTTTTGGGATGGTGGTTGTTGCTTCTCTCTTTTCATTGATTTATGATGATGTAGAAAACATAGCAGAAGCTTTACAGAGTATTTCCAGATAGATATCTGACTGTTGTACTTCTAGCAGGAGCTAAAATCTGAAACTGAGAGGAGTCACCATCTTCTGCCTTATGAGTTCAGTGTTTTTAGGAGGTGAAGGAGGATGAACTGTATTTTTTTGCACTTATAATTGCTGTATATCTAATTATTTTGTGGAAAACTGTCCATATAGTTCCTGTATGTGCTTCAGCAAAGCACTTCTGTAGTAGTGTTGGTTCCTTATGAATGTGTACTTGTGGTGCTTGAGAGGAAGAGTTTCTTAATGTAAAGTGCTGAACAGCTTGCATATCTGTCCATGAGTGAAAAGTACTGTTATGATTAGATTAATCAAGTTACAGGGAAATTTTAAACAGCAAGCCTTTTCATATATTTTTCAATATTTTAAAGTAATGGCAATACAAATAATTAATATTTAAAGAAATATAATCCCCTAGAAATTAAGTGTATTTTTAATTCTTTCTTCAGTTTTGGAAGGATATTGTTGAGGATATTGAAGTTCGTGATCTAATTTCTGACAGAAGCAAATCTCAAGGTGAGACATGTTGACTAACCTTAATACACACTTGTTGGTAAATATAGCAAAGGAAGGACTAAAATTTATTTATTTACTTTGTAGATATTCCATCAGAAGAATGGATTTGGGAATCCTTGTTTCATCCACCTCGCAAGTTGGGCATTAATGATATCGAAGGGCAGCGGGTACTTCAGATTGCAGTGATTTTACGTAATCTTTCTTTTGAAGAGGGAAATGTTAAACTTTTGGCAGCTAATCGTACTTGTCTTCGGTTCCTGCTACTCTCTGCTCATAGTCATTTTATTTCTCTACGGCAGTTGGGGCTTGACACGCTGGGAAATATTGCAGCAGAGGTAATGTGCTTCAAAACAGAACAATTAAAATAATTTTTGATAAAAGCAGTGCTTTAGTGTTAATTAAATGAATTATTTTTTCCTTGATCATTGGATGAAGCAGGAAATAAATTATTCTCGGAATTGTGAATAGCGATTTGAAAACAAGTATTCAGGGCCAAAACAAAACTACAGACTGTGTATTTCGGTTTGCTTAAATAGAATCACGTACAGAAGACTGATTGTATAGGGAGATACATGATATTCATAGTGCATAATTTTCAGTTGAGTTTCCCAGAGTGAAGAAAGGAATTTAGTTGAATTCTGCAGATTGTACACTAGGTTCTTCACTTTATAATTGCAACCTTTAGTCATAATTTCAAATTATTATGTTTGAGAAAGGGGTTAGGGGAGGGTTTTATGATGTGTGTGGTGGGCACCACTGAGCTAGTCATATGCCACTGGGTATATCGCCTGAATCACGTGAGGCATCTCTTTTTTTTCCAAAGAGGTTTGAATGTAATAAAAATACACTGTTTCAGTATGTTATATTATTGTACAGATAAATGATATCGATTTTATAGGTAAACATGTTCAGGTGTTCCTTACATTTCAAGATATAATAGATAAGTTAAATGGGCAGATATCAGAGAGTAAGACTTGAAGTATTGGTCCACTGCTGAATATTGGAAACAAAGATGGCGTTTGCATTTACCATGTATCCAGCTTCTTGTGAATCAAGTTCTTGAATTTGTGAATCACTGCTACATATTACAGTGCCTGAGAGCTCTGATTGAGAAGCAGAAGTAGGTAGAAACAGGATGAACAATTGTGATAGCATTTGGGGAGGAATGTTTGTGATTCCTCAAGTTCTGTTCTTTGTTGGATATTAAAATATATTTGTATATACTGTTGACTGCCTGGAAATAAAGCTATTTTCCTTATTCTCAGCAGTGGAAAGTGTAAATTAGACTGCTGCTTCAGAGTGGAAAAGGAGGAAGGGGCTCAAAACGCTAGCTGCAATAAAAAGCTCAGAGTTCTGTTTTTGTGAACACAAATGTCATTTAAACACTTTTGAATCTTATATTTTGATATGCCTATTTAAGGATTTGAGCCATTAGCACTTTATGGATAGTGTTAGTCATAGATTTTTTTTTTCTTTCTTTCTTATCAGCTTCTTTTGGATCCTGTTGATTTCAAAACTACTCATCTAATGTTCCACACAGTTACAAAATGCCTCATGTCAAGGGATAGATTTTTAAAAATGAGAGGTAAGATCTCTAGCTATTCTGTTGTTGTATTAGAATTGTAATTACTGCTGTCTAAAACTATTTTGTATTTGCTCTTTAGGCATGGAAATCTTGGCAAATCTTTGTAAGGCTGAAGATAATGGTGTCTTAATTTGTGAATATGTGGATCAAGAATCCTATAAAGAGATCATATGTCATCTCACGCTACCAGATGTGCTGCTGGTAATCTCAGCACTTGAGGTGCTATACATGCTCACAGAAATGGGAGAAGTGGCCTGCTCAAAGATTGCTAAAGTGGAGAAGAGCATAGGTAAGGGAAAAGCAAAGCCTATTACTCTCAGTTCTGTAGGAAAAAAGACTTAAAAATGTGGCTTGATTATGTGTGTGCAAGCTTAGAGATGGATATTAGAATAGGAAGTTTTACTAAAATTTACTCTGTGTCTTCAGGAAATTGATGATGCTCAATAACTAGGGAAGCTAGAACTTCTGAAGGAGTTTTGGGGTTTGTTTGTTTTTAATGCCATGAGGGAGGTGTGTAAAAATCTACAGAAGCATGCAAAGACTTGTTTTCTTTCAACACATGGCAATTTTAAAGCAAATCAACATGTCCCTGCAGCATTCATTTGTTTTGTCCTGATGTCATTGTCGGTTTTACATTTCATACTTTAGATACATTAGTATGTCTGGTTTCTATGGACATCCAGATGTTTGGACCTGATGCACTTACTGCTGTAAAACTCATTGAACACCAGTGCATTAGCCAGCAAGGAGTACCTGATGTCAGACCACAAGTAATGGATCATGGTTCTTCACAGGCTCATGCAACAGGTGTCCCAGGTTAGTATCACTGCACGAGAACATACTCTTCTACAAAATTTCCTATATGGCATGTATGATTTTTGTCTTCTGTAGGTTTCTGATTAATTTACATAAATAAGTATAGCATTATGCATAACGTGGTCTTTTTCAGACACTTGTTCACGAAGCAAATATAAAGCTATGTTAGTCAATATTGTTGTGAAACAAGCTTTAAAAGAATCTTAATTTTTTTCAGTTGTTAATCTGAAAATTTACTGGAAGCTATTTACACTCTTTATTTTAACTTATTCAGTGGAAAGAAAAAAGTATCTTTACTAGATTGTTCCCACAATTTGCAGAGAATTAAAGGTCCATTCTATATTGTGTTTCACACAGAATTTTATTGGGCAGTAATATAGTATTTGATAGAACTGTAGAGATGAGATAGACACACAGAATCGTGCCTCTGTTAAAGCTGCTAAACAGCTTAATGTGATGTGAACCAAATGTTAGCCATTGTTTAAAGCTTGAAAAGAGTTTTCTTAATTGTAAATTAAATTGTAATTGTGATTAATTTTTGCAGTTTTATTTTGGGATTAAATACTGGCCCTTTGGAAGTTGATGGCACAGCTAACTGCTATTGGTCAGGGGGAGTGGCATATGTACCTCATTCTATTTTTACCAAAAAAAGCACGTATACCACAGGTGCACACAAGATGGACCATAACTATTAGTTCTGGGGAAAAAAAGGAGAAAGAACCACTACGACAGACACTGGGTTGCATGTCTAAGTGTACTGTTTCTGGAATGGGTGCAGGTACCACAGTGAAAGCAACTGGAAATGGATGTGACTAAAGGGATGAACAAGAGTGAATAGAAGGAACTGATGTGACTTCACAGCAAAATTCTTTACATTGTATTTGCTTCTACTTAGGAATTGGAAAAATAATTGCTGTGTATATGTGCCTGTTCTGGTGGAGTATTGTGCCACTCTTAAATCACGTTCAGTACTCTAAAGTACTGAGACCGTGGATCATGATTGTGAATCTGGAAGCTGTTGTTCACTAAGTGCTTATGTCATCATCGCACTTCAGTGGTGGCTCTGGCCTTGGCATGCCCTGCTGCAGTGTGGTGAATTGTGGTGCAAATCTGTAGTCTGCTTAGTGCACCTTTGTAACTTGCCTTTGCTAGATACATCCTTGCTTACAAACACAGGAGAAACTATATCGTTGAAAGTCATAGAGTTAAAGTGCTTCATTCGGAAGAACAAAAATAATTTCAGCAAGTTGTTTTTTTTTTTTTTCTTCTCCTCGTGCTCCACAGCCTCTAGGACAGCACCACATGTTGCTCCACCACCGGGAATAGTAGAAATAGACAGCGAGAAATTTGCATGTCAGTGGTAAGTGTATAGTTCTATTCAAATACTTCAATGAAGAAGAAAAACAAAGAAAAATGCCTGTATTCATGTGTCACAAAATTTTCTAGCTTGCTTCAATTTACTGTTAAACTCATTTTTCTGAAAAATATAAAGCAAAACTATGCTGTCATTCCTTTGAAGAAGTATGAAAGAAAAAGCTCAACCAGAATATTCCCTCTTTGACAGTTGATGCTTGAAGTTAGTTGTTTTCTCTCTTAAAATACAATTTAATATGATTTTTAACTCTGATCTTGATATTATTTATTTTTTTTAAATTGTCACGTACCATTATCTGTTTAATGAGTGTTTTTTATCTGGTAATATCTTGCTATATTACTGTACCAATGTAAAAGTAATTATCAAATTAGGAAGCTAGGTCCTGGAAAACTCTCATGTGATCATTCTGAACCTCAAGCAAGTTAAGGAAGATCAAAGCCTTTTCCATCCTGGTTCTCTTGCTTTCAACTAATATTGTTGTTGTTGGATATTTAGAGAAAAACGATTCAGCCTGTGTTTCTCATGCAGTCTGAGGGTGATCTTTCTGAACTATTTGACTTATGTAAATCTACTCACATTCTAAATATTTGTATTAATTCCTGATGGGACCGTTCCACATCTGCTGCTGCACAGCTTATATGCTTATCATACTGATCAGACAAAGACCTTCAAGATAAAGTGGGTAGAATTTGTCAAACCTTAGTGCTTTAGGTCATGATTTCGTTTTACTTATACTTCCAGCAAAACTTGGATTGTATGGGAAAAGTGTTACAGATTCTTTTTGGTCGACTTATACTGTTCCCACGCTTCTGTTTGCACACTGCAAAGTATTATTAATGTGCACTGCTGAAAGACTGAGAAATTTCACATTTAGATATTTAAAGAGGTATACCTGGAGCTGGAATCACCACAGCTCGGTTTAGCAATCTGCAAGTTGGTCTCTAGCCAAAGCTAGTTTTCTAAGCTTTTTAATGAACAGAGTGGGAGATTCCCCAATAGTGAAATGAATTATTTTCATCTGCCTAGTTTCTGCTGAGATTATGAATTACTTTCTGGTGCCACCTTCTCTCTATTGTCTATAGAGAGCACTAGACATCTAGCTTTCAGTACTAAAGTTGTAGGCAAGGTGAATTTTTCACTCTGTATAAAATGTAAAATAGAAGTTTTGACTGTTAAAATAAGTATGGGTAGGTACCATGCTGCAACTGTGCAGTACCATCAAATGACAGAAAATAATGAAGCAGACCATGGAGCATTATATCAGAAAGATTTGGAATGTCTGCTTTGTTTCTTATTCTGTGTACTTCTACAGCTGTCAGTGTTGAACGCTATTACTTTGTACTTGATTTTCTTCTGCTTAGTCTTAGGTAGATATAGGTAGTGAAAAAATAAAAAATAAGATCTAGTCATGAAAATTCTCCTTAAATATTAGCTGTTCTGCCAAAAAAAAAACCAAAAAACCAAATAGAGAGCAGAAGAATAGCATCTTCCAAGCCTTTTCTTCAATGCTAACATGGAGTGGGAAAAAAAAAAAAAAAAAAAGCAAATGGAGAGCAGAAGAGTAGCATCTTCCAAGCCTTTTCATCAGTGCTAACATGGAGTGTCTTACATTCATGTGAATTTTTATTATGTTTTAGTCATTGTTTCCTTTTGAGAGAAATGGGAAAATGAGTAAATCTTAACAGTAGAATTTATAGAAGTTACTATCTCTTGGAAACAGTAGAAAGACAAGGTATTTAAACTGACCTTCCTGGATATATTATTAGCCAGCTTAGCCTGAGTAAGAGTCCTTGTAAGGTAAGTGCATGTGACAGCAAAGTGCTAATCACAGATCCCATGTCACCAGTGTAAGTCCTGAGTATCTTTAGTTCGCTGGTACCAGTTATGTCAGCCTAATATGACGTACTGAACTGGACAGTAACTTGTCTGATATGCCAAATTTAATTAATACCTAGACTTTCTGTTGTACAGCGTGATCTCAATTTTTGGAATAATGAAATTGTAACTCAACTGCAGGAGAAATGGCATCATACTTACTCTTTACTGGTTATGAGAGATCACAAATTAAAGAATGTAATAATTTGCTTTTTGTCTTTTGAAGCATCTAGTTATATTGGGAATGTAGGACTTTACAAAGGAGAATGCAGTGTCATTTTCCAAAATGTTAGCACCATATAGTAAATGCTGACAATTTAAAAAATATTTTTATTCTGTCTGAGCCTATATTCTGGTACTGGTATTTGAGCACCGTGTTAGGGTTGTTACTTACCTCCATTTGCTGCTGGGGATGAACCATTCCCATGTCTCTGGGTTGGAATAATGGATCTGAAAGAAATAAAATTAAACTGATAGAAAATGTTTCCTTCTCTCACAGCTTCCTGGTTGGGGTTGGATGGTCTGTGTGCTTGTGGAGCGTCTGTAGGAGATACAAATACTTTTGCTCCCTGGAAATTGAACGTTAGGCCAAACAGGTTGTTCAGGGATTTTATTGATGTTCGTGTGTGGGACTCCAGGAATGAATGTGTGTGTGTTTGTGTGTGTACTCTCTTAGCATCCCAGTCCTCTCTCTCCTGCCTTCCAATCTCTATCAAAATGACAGGGTTGAGATTGTAATTTTATCTCTGGTTTTACTTGTATTTTAAAATAAGACTGCATTACCAGGTCAGTTAACAAAATCTTGTTTTTGATACAGACATTGACTTTTGATAGAAACATTGACTTTCTGATGAAGAATTAGCTAGCACTCGGTCCATCTTTTGCTAAAGTAGAATTATTGAGAAAGAAGAATAGAGCTGTGGGGAGGAGATGTCACCAAACAATGCATTCTTTTTGGGTTTTGTTTCTGAATATACAATAAAAAAGGCATATGTGGAGAGTTTATTACATATGTAAATAAGATTTTGCATATAAAACTGACTGCATGTATCAGGGATCCTGTGTGTCAAATCATAAGCAGTGAGGAGAAGAAAGTATGGAACAGACATTTGACAAGATAATATATTAAAAAGTTATTTTCCATGTTGTTATCAGTTCTCAGAAGTCTCTGTGATACAGACAGAAGTGTTTTAACAAGCCTTTTAAAAGTACTCTCTATATATTTTGCTTCATAGTTTATTTTTTCATCCTCAGGTTGAATGCACATTTTGAGTTGAATCTTGATTGCTCAGTCTCTCGAGCAGAAATGTACTCTGAATACCTCTCTACCTGTAGTAAATTAGCTCGAGGTGGAATCCTAACATCAACTGGATTTTATAAATGTCTGCGGTAAGAGAAAAATTCATGCAGCGATAAAGAAGCAATTGTTTGTGCTCAATACTAGCCTGTAGCTTTAGATTACTTTGAGAAAAGATCTACCAAGTTGAAAGACATCCGGTACGGCATTTTAATTGAAACAAATGTATAGAGTTTGTTTAATTTTATTTCATTCTATTTCAGGATCTTTGATAGGGTTCCTTCTCTGCCTGTAGTCCTTTTAATTCTTTCTGAAGTAGTTTTTGGAGGTACTGTAGTTTTCACTTAGCTTGTGTGAGATCTTGGTCAGCCATCTGGTGGACCTGTTAGTCCTCAATGGTGAATGCTCAGATGCTTTTGAAGAATCCTGCTGTATTTCAAAGATGCAGACATTAGCACAGTTACTCTGCACACAAGAGCAATTAGTTAAACTAATCATTGTAAAAGGATTGAGTTACTGTGTTTAATAACATCGATTTATGTTATGTTTGGCAGAACTGTCTTTCCAAATCATACAGTGAAGAGAGTAGAAGATCCAAGTAACAATGGTCAAGCACATATACATGTGGTAGGAGTGAAAAGGAGAGCTATACCACTTCCCATTCAGATGTACTATCAGCAGCAACCAACTTCGTCTACCCCAGTTGTCCGGGTTGATTCAATTCCTGACGTATCTTCGTCTCCTTCGCCAGCAGGTTTTTAATTTAATTAAATATCAAGTATTTTTGCAGTGATTCTGAAATGACAGTGAAAAACAAAAGGTTTCTAAAATAGTTGAGAGTATTGAAAGTCGGGACCACATGTTTTGATTGATTTTATTCAGTAGTGTTAGGAGTAGTATTGCAGTATGTGCTTGCATGCCATTCTAGTATTTGATGTGTAACACACAAACTTGTCAGTCAGCGGGCAAACTGTTGCTGCTGCATCATTAATTCAGATGCAGTATAGCTCAGAAGAGAAACTGCTTCATATAGAATTACAAATTCAAGCCTTGGATTTTAAAAAATTTGTTATGCTAATGTCTTTTGAAATAATTTTTGCTTCCAAACTTTTACAGTGTTTATTTCAACAGGAATCCCGCATGGGCTACCAAGCGTAGGAAATCACTATCAGAGGACCCCTATTAATCAAGCTTCAACTTTGACAGCAACACAGATGTCTTTTCCAATTCAAGGTGTTCATACTGTGGCACAGACTGTTTCTAGAATTCCACAAAATCCTTCTATTCATACACAGCAGCAACAGAATGCTCCAATGACTGTTATACAGAATAAAGGTCCAATACCCTGTGAAGTAGTGAAGGCCACAGTAATACAGAGCTCTGTTCCCCAGTCTGCAGTTCCTGTCACTATTGCTGTAGGAGGAGCACCACAAGCTTCTAATCAAAACCACAGCACTACAGGACAACAGCCGTCTGTTACTGTTGTTAGTTCTCAGACGTTGCTTCACCACCAACCTGTAATTCAACAACAGTCTCCACTGCATGCAGTGGTACCTGGACAGATACCTTCAGGCACTCCTGTTACGGTAATTCAGCAAGCTGTACCTCAGGGTCATATATTTGGGAGAGTACAAAACATACCAGCATGCAGTTCAGCAGTTTCACAGGGTCAACAGCTAATCAGCACATCATCACAACCTGGGCAGACATCGTCTCAGCAGTCCTCTGCTGGCAACCAGCAACAAGATACAGTCATCATAGCACCACAGCAGTACGTCACAACCTCTGCATCTAACATTGTTTCTGCCACCACAGTTCAAAATTTCCAAGTAGCAGCTGGGCAGGTGGTTACAATTGCAGGTGTCCAAAACCCACCAACATCTAGGGTAGGGTTTCAGAATATTGCACCAAAGCCTCTGCCATCTCAGCAAGTTCCACCCACTGTGGTACAGCAGCCAATGCAGCCACAGCAGCAGCCTCCACCACCATCCCAGCAAAGCGTCGTGATTGTAAGCCAGCCAGCTCAGCAAGGTCAAACGTATGCACCAGCCATTCATCAAATAGTGCTTGCTAATCCAGCTTCTCTTCCCACTGGTCAAGCTGTCCAGTTGACTGGGCAGCCAAGCATTACTCCATCTTCTTCACCATCCCCAGGTCCGGTTACAAATAATCAAGTCCCCACAGTTATGTCATCTTCATCTACCACTTCTCAGTCACAAGGACCCCCTCCTACTGTCAGCCAGATGCTTTCTGTAAAGAGGCAGCAGCAGCAGCAGCAGCAACAGCAACATTCACCAGCATCATCGCAGCAGCAGGTACAGGTACAACAACCAATACAAATGCAAGTTCAGTCACAACAAGCTAATACAGGAGTTGGCCAGCCTAATTCTGGTGAGTCTAGTCTGATAAAACAACTGCTTCTTCCAAAAAGAGGCCCCTCAACTCCAGGGGGGAAGCTTATACTCCCAGCTCCGCAGATTCCTCCACCTAACAATGCAAGGGCTCCTAGCCCTCAGGTGGTTTATCAGATGGCCAATAACCAGGCACCAGGTTTTGGAGTTCAAGGACAGTCTCCAACTCAGCAGCTGCTAGTTGGACAGCAAAATGTTCAGCTGGTCCCAGGTGCAATCCAGCCCCAAGGGGCAGTACAAACAGTACCCATTTCTAATTTACAGATATTGCCAGGCCAGTTGATCTCAAACAGCCCAGCAACTATTTTCCAAGGGACTACTGGCAACCAGGTTACGATAACAGTTGTGCCAAATACGAGTTTTGCTACTGCAACTGTGAGTCATGGAAATGCAACTCAAATCATTGCGCCAGCATGCAGTCAGTGGAGCACAGACAGGAGTTGGGCTACAGGTGCAAACACTTCCAGCTACTCAAGCACCTTCAGCTGGACAATCACCGTGTACTGCTGCTCCCCCATTCAAAGGTGATAAAATAATTTGCCAAAAGGAGGAAGAAGCAAAGGAAGCAACAGGTTTACACATTCATGAACGTAAAATTGAAGTTATGGAGAATCCTTCCTGCCGAAGAGGAGCTGCAAACACCAGCAATGGGGATGCAAAAGAAAATGAAATGCAGGTGGGAAGTCTTTTAAATGGGAGAAAGTATAGTGACTCCAGTCTACCTCCTTCTAACTCAGGGAAAACTCAGAATGAGGCCAATCAGTGCTCACAAGTCAGTAATGGGCCATCATTAGAAATGGGTGAGAACGGAGCTCCTGGAAAGCAGAACTTTGAACAAATGGACACACAGGAAATTAAAAGTGATTTGAAGAAGCCCCTAGTTAATGGAATCTGTGATTTTGATAAAGGAGATGGTTCTCATTTGAACAAAAACATTCCAAATCACAAAACTTCCAATCATTTAGGAAATGGTGAGATATCTTCAGTGGAACAACAAGGGAATTTGGATGCCACGCAGCAAGATACTGCCAAAGGTGATCAAGGGGAAAGAATTTCTAATGGGCCTGTATTAACTTTGAGTAGTTCACCTGTTGTAAGCGGTACACAGGAGGCTGCAAAACTGTTAACTCAGCAACTTAGTGGTACCAACACTGATTTACCTAATGGACCTCTAGCTTCAAGTTTGAATTCAGATGTGCCTCAGCAACGCCCAAGTGTAGTTGTCTCACCACAATCTACAGCCTCTGTTATACAGGGGCATCAAATCATAGCAGTTCCACACTCAGGACCTAGAGTGTCCCAGTCTACCCTGTCATCCGAAGTTCGGTCTACTAATGGCACAGCAGAATGCAAAACTGTAAAGAGACCAGCAGAGGATAATGACAGGGAAACTGTTCCAGGAATTCCAAATAAAGTAGGAGTTAGAATTGTTACAATCAGTGACCCCAACAATGCTGGTTGCAGTGCAACAATGGTTGCTGTGCCAGCTGGAGCGGATCCAAGCACTGTAGCAAAAGTAGCAATAGAAAGTGCTGTTCAACAAAAGCAGCAGCATCCAACCACGTATATACAAAGCATGGTCACACAGGTATGTTGCAGTGTTCTTTTTATGTTTATTCCAACTGTGATTCTGACTAGTGCTGTGAAATAATGTGGGTGAAAATGTAAATTTAGGCAATATGTCATGCCTAGTATTTAAAACATTCAGAAAATGATGGTTTCTGTTCTGTCATGGACTACAGTTCTAATAGTTTGCATATTTCTTCCATGTCAATAACAGTGGTGGAATTTAAAACAGTTTGTAGCTTGATAATACATAGTAAGGAAAAAACTTACTGCTCACTGATTTCCTCCTTAAAGGATTAACTGTTCTGAAAACAACAATTTGTTGTGTAGTCCTGTAAAAATGTAGGAAATGTTCTTTATTTCACTCTTAGTCCTTCATGGAGAGGTGAATGTCCTTTTTGCAAGTTAATTGCGGCAGCTGCTTCAGGCTTGCTGAAATGAGTTCTTGCATTTAAAAGTGGCCTTGAAAGGTGTTCACTACAGTCAGGAGAAAGTATTGTTCTGTAAATTTGTTTATTTATGTTTGTTTATTGCAAAATATTTATCATGTTTACTATATCTATACAATATACATTGTTTAGGGTTTTTTTCTGTTTGACTAACTTTGGAGAGGGCTTTTTTGTCTTTTTTTTTCCCCCCCTTTTTCAACTTTCTTTTAACCGTTTAAAAGTGGTTACTCCCTAATATTTTAATAGAAATGATGTATGAACATTGATAAGTAGAGATAATAATGTTTAAGATCATTCCAGTCTCTAGAATTTATTTTAGTTTTGTACGTAGACAGAAAATCCCTCTCCAAAAAGGGTTCCTAACCTGGAGCAAAAAGAATAGAACAGTAGGTCTGTCAGTCACAGAGCTCTGACGGACTGTACAGAGGATAAATGAAATTGTGAGTGTATGTTAGTGTATTTTGATCCTGAGGTAAGACAAGTCTTTTATTTCTTATCTTCCTTTTTGATTGATTGGTTGAATTTTTTGTTTGTTTGCTTTTGACAGGGTGGCAGATATAGACCTTACTATACAGAGGACTTAAACAGAGACAGAACTTAAAATTCAACAAGTGAGGGCTAGCGCTACTTCTTTTTCTGTGTCGAGTTAGGTTTCTATTGAAAGCTCTTTTGACTTTCCCTCATCTAGTTGTCAGAAATCAGGACTTACAGTTAACAAGTTTTCTTTTTCTTTTTTTCTTTTAACTGCCACACCACACAGTTATGTTTTTAAAATGTCTTTAAACTCACATGTAAATTTTCACTTAGGTTTTATCAGAGAGAGATCCATATTTTTCTGATACATTACTAGTCTTTATTCTTACTAGAAATTAATTGAACAAAATTAAAGTGTCTTTTGGCAGCATAGGGAGAATGAACTAGATTTTCTTTAGTGTGGATGAAAAAAAGCAAGCTGAGTGAGTGTGTTTAGCTCTTACAAAGTTTGAATTTCTGTTATAGGTTTGCTAAGGATTTGGCTGAAATAGAAAATGATATGGCTATATCTCTGGAATGGAATAAATATTATCTGTGGTTATTTATTCCCTGGACATGTGGCTGACAAGAATTTTTCACTTGTGTCTCAAACAGCTATTCAGACTCTCATATTTTTGAGAAGAGGAGAGTAATATAGTTAACTATTCAATTTGTATTGGATTAGCTGCTCTACCATGATAATAGGGGAAAAAAAGAATGTTTTCTGTGCTGATGGTTTATTTTTTGCACTATCTCTAGTATCACTATCATTAATAGTTCCTACATTTTCCATTGCCTGTACAGACAGAAATGCTGCCAGCTGGGTATGCCATTCAGTACAGATTTGCAGATCAAAATAAATTGGTTTAATGTCTGCTTTTAGGGAAGCTGGCTAATTTTCCTGTCTGTAGGATGCCCTTGCTTTCTTCAAAATTACGGGAATGTGGGAGAAAAGGAGTTTGTTACTTTTGATCTTGGTGAACAATCTAATTTGTTGTCTGATTGCCTTAACCATTACATATGGCTATTTATGAATCATGTCTATCATGATAATGCTACATAGTGACTTATAATAGAACCCACTTTATAGTACTCTGTTCAGATATAGTGAACAGCATAGTTGGCTTATGACTTTTAAGGATCTTTACCACTCCTTTAAAATTAATGTGTTGGACTATAAACAGTACCAAAATCATTCTGGCCAGCTCCTCACCCCTTGCCTCCAAAGCTGCTGAGCAGCTGCAATAGCCATTGTTCTTCTGGAAAAGCAGATGTTAAGAATTTCCAGTATTGAGTCTGCTTTTAGGAGTATCTTTAAGGCGTCCAGAAATGTTAAGATGTAGCTACATTCTCATGAACTCAGTTTGAGTTTTGACAATGACTTTTTTTGAGTTTAGGCTCTGTAGAATCTCCTATTTTCTCCCTCCCATTTTGAGTCCTCCTTGTATGATGGGCAGCTTTCTTGTCCCTGACTTTTTGAAAGGCAGCAACTAACGAACATTTTTCATTTGAGCATCTGCATTGTTTTATCCTCTCTGCAGTATCTCATCTATACTGCATGTCTTGCAGAAGAAATAGGAGAACATGGTTCTTTATTCAGAAATGTACAGGGAATAAAGGGATATCAGCTATTGCAAAATTACATATCTGCTGTTAGCGTGTGATTTCCTGCTTATACTGTTACAATTTTGTTTTAAACTAGAGTTTGTATTTCAGAGAAATGAGAAAGGGATAGAAGAAGAAAATTTGTAATAAAATTACAAGCCAACAGGACGATAGGAAAAGGAGATGTAGAGGACAGGAGAGGGAGGAGAGTATTGCTTATGCAACTATAGCAGGATTAGTTGTCATCAGCTGCAGAGAGGAGAAAGGGAAGATGCTTGAACTGAAGATAAGGAAAGACAAAGAAAGGGGAGAAGGGAACAGCAAACTGAAAACTAAGGAAAGCAAGAAAAAGAGTGAAATAATTCTTAAGGCAATGTAAAAATTAAGAGAAGATTTGTGTCATGATATGAATAGTATTTTGAAATGGGCTGGTATTATTTGCTTGGGGAAAAAATGTTTATTTGAATGGCCTACTAAAATAACAAAAATCATATATTTGCTGCTTATGGAACAGCCTATGAAATCCAGTTAGACAATTATAGGTATTTTCTGGGTATAATCTGTGATTGTTCCATGTTAATTGTACACCTCAGCAGAACTCATAGAAAAATACGTATATACTGAGTTTAAAGATTTTTATTTTTGTATTTTTATACAAAAGTTGGGCTATGAGTATAAGGGTTATGTCAGAAGAGGAACATATGATGCACACAGTGTTGCAGTTTTTTTCCTATATCTCCATCTGTGTTTTGTAAGCCCATGAAACATAGCCTGAGAGGAGTTAGAACTGGCACTTTACTTTCTTGGCTTCCTTTTCCTTTGTATCTGTGTTCCCTGCTCCTGGATTATTGCTTTCCTGAGGCATTGTGCTGGATTGGTGGATGAAAAAGAAAAATAAATGAACAATTACCTACCTGTACATTTTATTTTCTTTTCCACTTTTTTTTTTTTTACTCCTCTTCAAACACCTCCAAAACATCTGTTGAACATAACCCTGTTGGTTTGTCCCAGTTGGTGTGTGTTTTGAAGGAATGCTCTGATATCACACCAAGTTCAAGAAATGAGCGAATCTGATTTAAATTGACTTACCTGGCTTTTAAAGTAATCACCTTCCTGCTCATCACTGTCATCCCCTCATAAAGAATGCACTCCAATTTCTCTGAAGGCTGCCAACTTGAAACATGTTTGTGTGGAAATTTAGGTAGCAAAAACGTTGTGAGCATTGCCTTTACTTGCTCCTGCTCTCTGTTGACTGTAAAGCTGAGAATTACCACGCACCAGAAAGCAGGTGTGTAGCCCCAGGAGGTATAATTCATTCCTGGCCACAGAGCAAATGAGTTTCTCAGCTGGAAGTACTGAAATACAGGATCTCTGTGCTTTTATTGCTCTTCACTTGTGAAGCACGCTGTCGCAAGGAGACTTAAACCTCAGTAATCTAACAACAAGAAAAGAACATTTATTTAAGTGCCTGCCTATCCACCTGACACCTTCCTCACACTCAAATCCTGCTACACTCATTTTCAGCTTATAAGTGGCCTTTTAATTTTTACTGATAATTAACTGTTTAACATTGAGTTAAATATATTTACTGTGGGTGTGCACATATTAATGATGGGAGAAAAAAATGCAACCTAATGCTTTTAAACTGCATATGGCTCTATATTTCAATAAGACCCCCATCATGCTGGGATGCAGCATATTCTCCTGCTGATGGCACAATAGGCCTTTTAAATAAAATGGGTAGATGTCATGCTAAAATAGTTACCTAGTAATACATAAAGGGAATGGCAGCATTAGTGAAATGAAGATGGAGGCCATTTTTTGCCCCAAGCCAAAGGGTTTGTTAATTCCTACTACACAGGGAGCTCATGTGTCCAAATGGGGGACCTCTTGTGCATAAAAATAAATTAGTATATTTTGTAAATAATCCATTCTATTTAGCAGAACTCTCTTAGCTTTATTCTTAGTTTTCATGACTATGCTGGACTTCCTTCCTGCCACCCCCACTGCCCCCAAAATACCTCGGTCTAAAGTCACCCAGTCTAGAGATAACATCACCTTCTACTTATTAAAAGTAGTCTGTACAGGTATTAAGGTTTGTATTTGTGTAGTTTGAGTTCAGTGCAAACCATACTGTCAGGGCAAGATCAGAAATATATCTGAGAGAGCAGAATCTTGTGTTTTATCTATAACAGCAATGTGTAGGGTAGTAAAATATAGTAGAGTCTATACCTAAGACTGATTGTTAAAATTTTGCTTGAATTTAAGCACTCTCTCATATTGCAACACTTTACTATTTTTTTTAACATATATTTTTTACTTTATATGCTTGAATTTGTAATTCTTGGAAGACTGCTGTCAAATAATTTTCCTTCCAAATTAATTGAGCGAGTGACCAAGCAGCTGCCTCCAAAGTAAGCATGAGGGATATAGTTCAAGGACCATGCTCTGAGAGTAGTGTAGCCAGCATTGTTAGCCTTGGCTACCCATTACATTTATCTCTGTTGCAACATATTCTGGTTTTCATAGGCCCAGGGAGCAAGATGGCAAACTATTCTTTAAAGCATCCTCCTCTACATTTTAATAGTCTGTGCAGGCTCTTGATGAGGCTAATAGCTTGTTGCTATCTTTTATGTTGTCATTTCAAAAGTGTCATTTTTATCTTGATAAAAAATGACTGTAGTTAAAGGTAACTGGTAAAGTAAAGGTTAAAGTTAAGGTAACTGGAAAAAAATAAGCTCAATAGTTGTCTCCCCTTTTTTTACTTTATGCCTCAAAGAATTCCTTATGCATGTAGTCACAGCTCTCCGGTACAAGAATTGCAGTAGTTGGATAATGAAAAACGCTGCTTTCTGGGATGGAATTGTGCCTGAGTCAAAACCTGCTATGGTGGGAAGTCCATTGCTGGTATCCTTACTTACCAGGCAGCTGCAGTTCAGCTGGGCTTAATAGCTATGGTTCAGCATTTGCTGTGTCTCTGTAACACCATGCTCTGATACCAAGTATGCTTCTGGTAGAAGAAACATGGTGCTGGAAGAGCCTGTTCTGGTTCCAGTCATGTCCAGCAGAGCTGAGCATGGCGCAGTCTCCAGATGAGAACAGAATTGGCCTGGAAGGCTGGAACAAGGGCATTCATACAGCACTGAACGTGAGCTAATGCAGGCCACAGCTGGTGCTGTTTGAGGTGTCTTTAATTTGCAGTTTGGGAACACTGACTGCAGTTGTTTTTTCTGCTTCCCTTAGTATATGGTTAGTCAAGTTTTATCTCTGTGAGATAAACTATTGATGGCTGTCAACCCTCATAACTCAATCAGCTTTGCACAGAGGATATTGAAGTTACAGAAATACTAACTTTTATCATCAAAACTTGAGATTTTGCATCTATGCCTGTGCACTGCAAGCTGAGAGACACGCCTTGAGTCAATATCTTTCTGCAAAACCCTAGTAATCAACAACAGGGAAAAGAGAAAAGCTTCTTTAAAATATGTAAAAGAATTCAGAACACACTATTATAGGGGTTGCCATCAGAAACTGGATTAAAGAAAGGAGGTTGTCAGAGAATGGTATTTCTTTGCCTATTTTTAAAAAGTTGCTTCAGATTGCCCTGCATCTGGCTACCTTTCATACTGAAGTAATTTCTTTGTGCAGTATAGTAGTTTTGGTTCCTTTAGCACAGTTGTGCTGCCTGGAGAAGAGAGAGGTCTAGGGAGACCTTTTTGCAGCCTTTCAATACTTAAAGGGGGCTTGCTTATAAGAAAGATGGGGAGAACTTTTTTAGTAGGGCATGTTGTGATAGGACAAGGGGTAATGGTTTTAAACTAAAATAGAGTAGTTTTAGACTAGATGTAAGGAAGAAATTTTTCACAATGAGATTGGTGAAACACTGGAACAGGTTGCCTAGAGAGGTGGTAAAAGCCCCCCATCCCTGTAAACATTCAAGGTCAGGTTGGACAACACTCTGAGCAACATGATCTAGTGGAAGCTGTCCCTGCTCACTGCAGGGAGGTTGGACTAGATGACCTTTAAAGGTCACTTCCAACCCAAACCATTCTGTGATTCTATGAATTTGTTATGTGTTCAAGCACCCAGAAACATGTCAAGCGTGGTTACTGGCAGGTCAGTTTATATTGAATTAATTGTCATTTAGGACAGACTTTACAGAGTAGCTTAGATCCTTTGAGACAAAAAATCACTAAATATAAATACATTCTTTATATATATGCATGTATAAGACAAATATATATTTAGCTACTCTGCTTCTGTTAGTGTTTAGTTTCTCAAAAACTTTTGTTTATATCCTGTATAAGGACTCATAAGTCTTTACAAGGGCACTCAGTGATTTTATGAAAGGGGTTATATGATTTGGTTATCTATGTCAGAAACAGAGATAGGTGGTGCTGCTTTTCAGTCCCGAGACCCAGTGGAATCTGATTTGCAGAAGTACTGAGTCATGGCAATTATATCATGGAGAGGTCTAATCTGAGTATAAAAAGATGCCGTGAAATCCATTCTTCAAGTGTACTAGAATACAGGGTGTTTCGTTTCTTGAGAAACATGGAATCATTAAACGATTTTGCTAGAGGAGGAAATTTTGGGTTTTTTTTTATGCCATGGGGAAATTTTTTTCAATGTTACTTTTCCCAGAAGACTTTATTAGGAAAAATGAAATGTCTATCATAGTTCTGTATGTTAAAGAAATAAGTGAGTTTATGTAATCATTGCATATCAGTCCTGTAAACTAGGTGGCACATAGCAAGTATTTCTAGGTACGTTTCTGGAAAAAAAAGAGTTTTGTTTCTGAAAAACAAAGACTATACCAAATTTTAGTGATGTCCTGTGATTTACTAAATCAATACATGAAAATGGAGGAGGGGAAAAAAAGAAAACAAAAATTAGCAGTATTTCTGAGGAGAGCTTTGAGATGTTCCAACATAGAGCTTTTGTTTCTAAAATAAAACCTAGGGAAAAAAAGTAACTTTGCTTTATCTGTCAATTTTAGATATAATCAGCATAGTTGATAGGCAAGCAATAAATGTGACATAAAATACATCAAAATTGTAACTGCCTAATGCTACAAACTTAAGCAAAACTACTCTACTTGCAGTACAGCAATAATAATAGAATTCTAAACAACAATTATTTCACACATTTATTTTCAGTTTATCAACTTTTTTTTTTTCCTCACTGAAAAAAAAAAGGTGGAAAGAAATTGGAGGGGAAACTGAATTTTAACTTTTTATCCTGAAAATTGTTTCCCTTTTTGTGCTCTTTCATTTTCAGCATGTAACATTTTGTGTTGTGTATCTCAGATCTCCTTGTTTAAAATAAACAATTTTTTAATGAGACGTTATTAAAACCTTTGAATACTTGGAGAGTTTGCCAGAAAAACCCTTGAGAAAATTCATAATTCTGGATTAATCGCAGGGTTTGCTTAGAATGGAGTACATAATACATGAACCACACACTGAATGAAGAGAATTAAATGAAATAGTGAATTCAGTCAGTAAGCTTACTCTCTCTCCAGCACGTTAAATAAGACAGAAGTTCTATAGAGATGAAGTTGCATAAAGACTATCATAGTGTGTCGATATCAGGATGCCAAGTGAAGATTGCAAAAACCAGCTGTACTGCTGACACTTGCTGATTTTACTTTCAGCTTCACTTTAAAAATGCCTTATTAAATGGTTGTTGATCTTAAAAGGCTCCACTTCTGCTTACCTTTTGTTAAAAGATACATTGTGAAGATTCATTATCCAATCTGTAAAATAGCTGAGAGGTCTTTAGATGAAAATCATTGCTGAGTTCAAAATAATTTGTGGTTGTGACTAATGGGCTCAAGTCCTTTTTTACAACTTTTCACACACGCAGATCACAGGCGTCATAGAAGAGTTGTGCTGTGTTCAGGAGTTTTGCTGAGTTTTGCCTGATTTTTATCAGGATTTATGGTTGCCTGTGGGAAGTGTTTTGGTTTTGATGAGACACTTTTGCTGTCCTTTTGGTCATGTTATTAGCATTGTACGATCTGTGATAGTTATTAACTTTTTACCTTGTGTGACTGTTGTCCACAGTGCCAATAGAGAGCAGCAGGAAGAAAACTTCAGCTCAATATGCAAATGAAATGTTAGAAGGTGTACTTAACTGTTTGTTTCTTTGCAGTTAAAGTCTAAAGCTAGTCAGTAACCAAGCAGTACAGATGTAAATAGAGTATTGTGTGCACTATTTGGAGGTGCTTCTTTTATAATATTCTTAAACACAGACTTGAAAGTAGTTTTGTTTGATTTCTTAAAAAAAAAAAAAAAAAAAAAAGTTTTGCATTCCTTTTCTAACAGTAGGGAAGAAAAGAATGTTGGGTCTTCATTCATAGATAATATTCAGAAGCTTATTTTTTTTATTGTCATCATCTTTATAAGCATCTTGCTGACCAGAGCCTTCCAGGAAAAAAGAAAGAAGAGAAGCAGTGTTCTGACATAAACACTGCTCTGAAGTGGGGAAATCCAGTGTCCAGTATCTATTGTTCAGAAAAATAAATAAAATTGACATATTTTGGCTTTGCTTTAATCCTTTTTAGGTCACTTTTAAGGTAATTTTTACTCACGGTTAAAATAAGTGTCTTGTAATATTGCAGGGGAGCAAGGAGAACATATTTCTCCTTTCTGAAATGTTTATATTTA